GTTCTTGTGGTCAGTGAGAATGAGAACTGGAACTGCAGAACCCTCGAGCAGGTGCCTCCATTCCTTGAGAGCCTGAATAATGGCCAACAACTCCCTGTCTCCAATCTGGTAGTTGCATTCTGCGGAGGAAAGCTTCCTAGAGTAGAACGCACAGGGAAGTAGGGGTCCATTTGGCAACCGACACTGAGACAGGAGGGCACCTACTCCCATTTCAGATGCATCAACCTCGAGGACAAAAGGCAACCCAGAATTGGGATGAGACAGTATCGGAGCCGAAGCGAAGGCCGATTTCAGAGCTTCGAAAGCTAAGATGGCCTCAGATGACCACTCGTGGGGATTACTGCCCTTCTTGGTCAGATCTGAGAGAGGCTTGGCCAGCGTGGAGAAGTTCCTGATAAACTTCCGATAATAGTTGGCAAATCCAAAAAGCGCTGAATGGACCGAAGACCACTGGGACGAAGTCACTGCAGAACCGCCAAAACCTTCTGAGGGTCCATGGAAAATCCCACAGCGGAAATGATGTATCCCAAAAAGGCAACCTGGGATCGGTGAAATTCACACTTCTCGAGCTTACAGAAAAGCTCGTTCTCACGTAACCGTTGCAGCACCCGCTTAACATCCTGGATATGAGACTCCATAAAATGCACAGTAAACCAAGATGTCGCCCAAGTAAACCACCACGCACTGCTGCAACAAGTCACAAAAGACATCATTAATGAACTCCTGAAAGACCGCGGGCGCGTTACACAACCCGAAGGGCATAAACAGGGATTCATAGTGGCCGGGTTCTGGTGTTGAACGCGGTCTTCCATTCGTCGCCCTCCTTGATCCGTATGAGGTTGTACGCAGCCCTAAAGATCGAGTTTAGTAAAGACCGTTGCTCCCTTGAGGCGGTCGAACAACTCGGTTATCAACGGAATTGGGTAAGCATTCTTAATCATGATTCGATTGAGACCCCTAAAATCAATGCAAGGCCTCAATTCACCGCCCTTCTTTTTCACAAAGAAAAAGCCAGCTCTCTGCTGGGAGAAGTAGACTTGCGAATGTACCCCCGGGAAAGCACATCCGCAACGTACTCCTCCCATGGCCTGATTCTCCACAACCGAAAGAGGATACACCCTGCCCACGAGGAGGAGTGGCATCGGGTTGTAAGGTTATGGCACAATCGTATGGACGATGAGGAGGCAGAGCACCAGCGCGTCACCACCTTGTCAAACAACGTCCAGGTACTCCCCATAGTCAGTAGGCAACACAGAGTCCAAGGAGGCACACAACACCTTAACAGGTCCACGGATACAACCGGCCCCACACTGTGGAGACCACGAGAGAAACTCGGGGCCGACCCAGCCATCAAAGGTCGGATTGTGCTTCTTAAGCCAGAGATATCCCAAAACCACGGAGTATTGCGGGGAAGAAATTACCTGGAAACAGGCCAACTCCCTGTGCCCCAATAGCTACTTCAACCGGCAGGGTCTCGTGAGTAACCTGCGGCGGTTGCAGGGGCCTTCAATCTATCGCCTCAAGGACCAATGGAGTAACTCGAGCCTGCAAGGAATGGAGTACTGGGCAGCAAACAAACTGTCCATAAACAACCCGCCAGCATCAGAGTCTACCAACACCTGGCCGTCACCAAAGCCTTCGGCCCTAGAGAGAGGACAACCGGTGATTAGCGGTTTATCTTTGCGGGAAACCAGGATGAGCAAACTCCACCCAAGATCTGAACCCGACAGGATCTCAGGTGCGAGCGTTTCCCGGACGGGACCGGACAGAACTGCCGAAAATGCCCACAGAGACCACAGTACAGGCAGCGACCCTCCCGACGCCGAGGCCCACTCAAAACGAAGGCCCGCTCCCCCTCGGAAGGCGAGCAAACCAGCCAGCTGCATGGGCTCACCTCCAGACAAAGCCATCCCCAGGAGGCGTGGGGAGGAACGGGTGGGACAGAAAAATGTAGGCGCCAATCGGTTAGGAGGCCTCCGCAAGACGCTCCATAAGTGAAGGCCTCTCCCTAAGCCTGGTGTCAATCAGGATTAGGAAGGAAATTAGTGCTTTGAGCTCTACAGGCAGTTCTTTGGCTGCAATCTCGTCCTTCAACGCATCTGAGAGACCATGAGAGAAAGCAGCCCCCAGAGCCTCATTGTTCCAACCCACCTCTGCCGCCAGGGTACGAAATTCTATGGGCGTACTAAGGCAACGGTTCGTGAACCCTGATGCATGGTCATGAGCAGCTTAGCAGCAGAGGCGGAGCGAGCAGGCACATCAAATACCATACGGGAAGGAGGCAACAAAACCTGGCAAACTCGTGAATCACAGGGTTATCGTTTCTCCCATAAGGGATTTGTCCAGGCCAAGGCCTTGTCCGAGAGCAGCGAGATTAAGGAAGCCCACCTTTGACCTCTCAGTAGGAAAAGCATGGGTATCAATTCAAAATATATGCCCACTTAGTAAGGAAACCCCGACACTGACTCGGCTCAAGCCCCCCCAAGTGCTGTGGAAGGGAGCTGTGTAACCACGGTCATAACCGCTGGGCACCGCAGGTGCGGCAGCAGATGCGGAGGTAGGCGCAAGAACCGGAGCAACAGCGGGAGCTGGACCACAGGAGTGACAACCTGCCTAATAGCACCAGGAGTAAGGTGTGCTGTGCGTGCAAGCAGTGTCTGCAACGCTCTGAGCGAACTGATCCAACAAGAGATCCTGCTGATCAAGTCTGGCAACCAACATAGGAGCGGGGCATACCTGCGCCGTCAGGATTCATGGCATTCGTGTAGTGTCAGGAAGCGAGGAGCCAGACACATAAGGAGGTGCAATTAAAGGTAGGTTTATTATACAAAAACAAGACAGAGTCTATGCAAGTCCCAACAGCAACAGCGGGTGATTTGGTAGAAACAGTAGCCAGGAAGGATGATCGCCAGAGCCGGGGTCTGCGAAGCCCAGGAAGAATGATCCAGAGCCGGGGTCAGAAGCCAGGAAGGGATGATCGCCAGCGCCGGGGGTCAGAAGCCAGCGGGAAAGAATGATCGCAGAGCCGGGTCAGAAGCCAGGAAGGATGATCGCCAGAGCTGGGGTCAGAAGCCAGGAAGGATGATCGCCAGAGCTGGGGTCAGAAGCCAGGAAGGAGTCTTGCCAAAGCCCATCGGTATCCCAGGAGAGCAATGAGAAACTAAACAGGAGCTTGCTGCTGTGCAACAGACAGGACACGAATGCAAAGGACAGCTACAAACAGCAGACTTATATGTGATAAGCCGCCACCTCCTGGGAGGAGCCGCAGAGGGCTGAAAGCATAAAGGATCCACACAATGCTTTGCAGACATCTAAGGGGAAAAAGATGGATGCCAGCACATGAGCAGCACAAGCCCTGAGGAAAGGTAGGACCTTGACAGCTCCTCCCATAACTCTGCTCTATCTACTTGTACAGCGTGACTGGTCTTGTCTCACGCGCCCCTCCTCTAGTTTTATGTAGTGGGTAGGGTCTACTGCCCCCCCCCACAGCTCTGCTCTCTCTCTTTGTGCAGGGTGACTGGTCTTGTCTCTGACCCACCTGTAGTTTTCTGCAAGGAGCCTGTAGTGGGTGGAGCCTGCTGGACCCCTCCCATGACTCTGCTCTCTCTCCTTGTGCAGGGTGACTGTTCTGGTCTCCGAAGCTCCTGTAGTTTTCCCCAGTCAACCTGTAGTGGGTGGGGCCTGCTGGGCACCTCCAACTACTCTGCTCTCTCTCCTTTTACAGGGGTGACTGGTCTTGTCTCTGCCCCCTCCTGTAGTTTTCTGCAAGCAGCCTGTAGTGGGTGGAGACTGCAGTGCCCCTCCAAACATCTCTGCTCTGGCTAGGTACAGCACAGTGTTGATGACACTACTACTTTAACTTTGTGTACCCTCCATGTTTTTTGCAAACCCAGTTAAAGTAAGTTTACATCCTTCATGGCTATGGAGGAATATATTAAGATGACATTTTCTGTGGCTGGACTTCAGTTTTCAAGATCCATGTCACTGGATGCCCAAACATGATGACGTCGCTTACTGAATGACAGCTATCTGAGCAATACAAGAAAATGGAGGGGATAAGTAGTGACATCAAATGTGGCTTTGCCAGTGTTAACTATGGAACATGGAGTTTAGGGGCCTGGAACCACCAAACCAGACCAAACCTCCCATTAAGAGGAGAACCATGCAAGAGGCCCAAAGATGTTGAAGCAAAATCACAAAAGAGAAAGGCTTGTACTTTTCATATCTCAGTTTGACAGTCACGCTCCATGGGGGTACTGGTCAAATATATATGTACCCCTGTGTGGGAAGGGACCTAAAGTTGATTATGCATCCAATGTGTGTGGATTAAACCCTGAGGGGCCAGCATCCCCTCCAACCATATAGAAAGCAACCTTATTTAGGTAATGATGTCACTCCCCCACCCCTTTTCTTATGTGGCCATGTAAGTGAATGGGCCAGGTGACGTTAGTGGTTACATAGTTACATAGTTAGTCTGGCTGAAAAAAGACAAAAGTCCATCCAGTTCAACCATTAAAAAAAAAAACTTATAATCCTGCACACATAGTTGAGCCAAAGGAAGGCAAAAAACCCGACAAAGCACGATCCAATTTGCTCCTGCAGGGGAAAAATTCCTTCCTGATCCCCCGAGAGTCAATCGATATTCCCTGGATCAACTTTCCCTATAAATGTTATATCCAGTTTATATTCTGTGTATCCAAGAAAGAATCCAGGACTTTTTTAACTGCCATAGAAGGAAATGACGGGCGCAAGGCGGTTCTCTCGTTCTGGGAGGACGTCATATGACGTCCTCGCACTCTAACTGAGCGTGCGTGGACACAGCGATCACCGATCAACGGAAAGAGCCGAAGATGTCGGCTCAGTCATGTGATCAGCTGTGTCCAATCACAGAAGATCACATGTAAATAAGGAAATTGCCGATTATCAGCATTTCTCTCCTCACAAGTTGTCACGCTGACAGAGGAGAGGAGAGCCGGTAATTGGCATTCCACAGAGGGGACATCTACACTGATCATCAGGCACTGATGATCAGTGTAGCCCCAGCAGTGCCACCTGTCAGTGCTCATCAATGCCACATATCAGTGCCCATCTGAGCTGCAGTGCCAGTCAGTGCCACCTTTCAGTGCTGCCAATCAGTTCCGCCTATCAGTGCCAGCCGGTGCCGCCTATCAGTGCCCGTCAATGCTGCCTATCAGTGCCGTCTAACAGTGCCAGTCAGTGCCACCTATCAGTGCCAGTCAGTGCCGCCTATCAGTGCTATATATGAGTGCTGCCTTTCAGTGCCCATCAGTGATGCCTGTCAATGCCCATCAATGCCAGCTACCAGTGCCTCCTCATCAGTGCCACCTATCAGTGCCTGTCAGTGCCCATCACTGAAGCCTCATTAGCGCACATCAGTGTAGGAGAAAAATCACTTATTTACAAAATTGTATAACAAAAACTAAGAAAAAAACATTTCAAAATTTTCAGTTGTTTTTGGTTTGTTTACAAAAAAATAAAATCCCAGAGGTGATTAAATACCACCAAAAGAAAGCTCTATCTGTCTCAAAAAAATGATAAAAACGTCATATGTGTACAGTGTTGCTTTTGCATGACCGCGCAATTGTCATTCAAAGTGCGACAGCGCTGAAAGCTGGAAATTGTCCTGGGAAGGAAGGGGGTAGAAGTGCCCTGTAGGCAGGAAGGGGGTAGAAGTGCCCTGTAGGCAGGAAGGGGGTAGAAGTGTCCTGTAGGCAGGAAGGGGGTAGAAGCGCACGGTAGGCAGGAAGGGGGTAGAAGCGCCTGGTAGACAGGAAGGGGGTAGAAGTGTCCGGTAGGCAGGAAGGGGGTAGAAGTGCCCTGTAGGCAGGAAGGGGGTAGAAGTGCCCGGTAGGCAGGAAGGGGGCAGAAGTGCCCGGTAGGCAGGAAGGGGGTAGAAGTGCCCTGTAGGCAGGAAGGGGGTAGAAGTGCCCCCTGTAGAAGGCAGGAAGGGGGTAGAAGTGCCCTGTACGCAGGAAGGGGGTAGAAGTGCCCGGTAGGCAGGAAGGGGGCAGAAGTGCCCTGTAGGCAGGAAGGGGGCAGAAGTGTCCAGTAGGCAGGAAGGGGGCAGAAGTGTCCACTAGGCAGGAAGGGGGCAGAAGTGTCCACTAGGCAGGAAGGGGGTAGAAGTGCCCTGTAGGCAGGAAGGGGGTAGAAGTGCCCGGTAGGCAGGAAGGGGGTAGAAGTGCCCGGTAAGCAGGAAGGGGGTAGAAGTGCCGGTAGGCAGGAAGGGGGTAGAAGTGCCCGGTAGGCAGGAAGGAGGTAGAAGTGCCCGGCAGGCAGGAAGGGGGTAGAAGTGTCCAGCAGGCAGGAAGGGGGGTAGAAGTGCCCTGTAGGCAGGAAGGGGGTAGAATTGCCCGGTAGGCAGGAAGGGGGTAGAAGTACCCTGTGGGCAGGAAGGGGGTAGAAGTGTCCAGTAGGCAGGAAGGGGGTAGAAGTGCCCTGTAGGCAGGAAGGGGGTAGAAGTGTCCACTAGGCAGGAAGGGGGTAGAAGTGCCTTGTAGGCAGGAAGGGGGTAGAAGTGCCCGGTAGGCAGGAAGGGGGTAGAAGTGTCCAGTAGACAGGAAGGGGGTAGAAGTGCCCTGTAGGCAGGAAGGGGGCAGAAGTGCCCGGTAGGCAGGAAGGGGGTAGAAGTGCCCGGTAGGCAGGAAGGGGGCAGAAGTGCCCTGTAGGCAGGAAGGGGGCAGAAGTGTCCAGTAGGCAGGAAGGGGGCAGAAGTGTCCACTAGGCAGGAAGGGGGCAGAAGTGTCCACTAGGCAGGAAGGGGGTAGAAGTGCCCTGTAGGCAGGAAGGGGGTAGAAGTGCCCGGTAGGCAGGAAGGGGGTAGAAGTGCCGGTAGGCAGGAAGGGGGTAGAAGTGCCCGGTAGGCAGGAAGGAGGTAGAAGTGCCCGGCAGGCAGGAAGGGGGTAGAAGTGTCCAGCAGGCAGGAAGGGGGTAGAAGTGCCCTGTAGGCAGGAAGGGGGTAGAATTGCCCAGTAGGCAGGAAGGGGGTAGCAGTGCCCGGTAGGCAGGAAGGGGGTAGAAGTGCCCGGTAAGCAGGAAGGGGGTAGAAGTGCCGGTAGGCAGGAAGGAGGTAGAAGTGCCCGGTAGGCAGGAAGGAGGTAGAAGTGCCCGGCAGGCAGGAAGGGGGTAGAAGTGTCCAGCAGGCAGGAAGGGGGTAGAAGTGCCCTGTAGGCAGGAAGGGGGTAGAATTGCCCGGTAGGCAGGAAGGGGGTAGAAGTACCCTGTGGGCAGGAAGGGGGTAGAAGTGTCCAGTAGGCAGGAAGGGGGTAGAAGTGCCCTGTAGGCAGGAAGGGGGTAGAAGTGTCCACTAGGCAGGAAGGGGGTAGAAGTGCCCTGTAGGCAGGAAGGGGGTAGAAGTGCCCGGTAGGCAGGAAGGGGGTAGAAGTGTCCAGTAGACAGGAAGGGGGTAGAAGTGCCCTGTAGGCAGGAAGGGGGCAGAAGTGCCCGGTAGGCAGGAAGGGGGTAGAAGTGCCCGGTAGGCAGGAAGGGGGCAGAAGTGCCCTGTAGGCAGGAAGGGGGCAGAAGTGTCCAGTAGGCAGGAAGGGGGCAGAAGTGTCCACTAGGCAGGAAGGGGGCAGAAGTGTCCACTAGGCAGGAAGGGGGGTAGAAGTGCCCTGTAGGCAGGAAGGGGGTAGAAGTGCCCGGTAGGCAGGAAGGGGGTAGAAGTGCCGGTAGGCAGGAAGGGGGTAGAAGTGCCCGGTAGGCAGGAAGGAGGTAGAAGTGCCCGGCAGGCAGGAAGGGGGTAGAAGTGTCCAGCAGGCAGGAAGGGGGTAGAAGTGCCCTGTAGGCAGGAAGGGGGTAGAATTGCCCAGTAGGCAGGAAGGGGGTAGAAGTGCCCTGTGGGCAGGAAGGGGGTAGAAGTGTCCAGTAGGCAGGAAGGGGGTAGAAGTGTCCAGTAGGCAGGAAGGGGGTAGAAGTGTCCACTAGGCAGGAAGGGGGTAGAAGTGCCCTGTAGGCAGGAAGGGGGTAGAAGTGACCGGTAGGCAGGAAGGGGGTAGAAGTGTCCAGTAGGCAGGAAGGGGGTAGAAGTGCCCTGTAGGCAGGAAGGGGGCAGAAGTGCCCTGTAGGCAGTAAGGGGGCAGAAGTGCCCGGTAGGCAGGAAGGGGGTAGAAGTGTCCGGTAGGCAGGAAGGGGGTAGAAGTGCCCTGTAGGCAGGAAGGGGGTAGAAGTGCCCTGTAGGCAGGAAGGGGGTAGAAGTGCTCGGTAGGCAGGAAGGGGGTAGAAGTGCTCGGTAGGCGAGGGGTTAAAGGTTGGCAGGTGCTACTTCTTTAGCAACACTGGACAACACAGATTTTGTTTCCCAAACACTTTTTGCTGTTCCTTACAGATTTCTGGCTGCTACTCAAGAAAATAACCTGCAATTTAACCCATCACATGCCATTTTATAGATATCTTGTGTGTTTGAAATTTCCAATACCTGTTAGCTATGCTGCACATATTGAAAGAAACACATTAAAACATGGAATTGTTGTTAAAATATATCCAGTAGACCAAATACAGCTGTAATGTCTGTGGACATCTAAACTCACTTTATTAGGTCCACCTGTTCTATTGCTTAGTAACACAAATTGCTAATCAGCCAATCACATGGAAGCAACTCAATGCATTTAGGCATCTAAATGTGGTGAAGACGACTTGCTGAAGTTCAAACTGAGCATCAGAATGGGGAAGAAATAGGATTTAAGTGACTTTGAACGTGGCATGGTTGTTGGTGCCAGACGGGCTGGTCTGAATATTTCAAAAACTTCTGATCTACTGGGATTTTCACGCACAACCATCTCTAGGGTTTACAGAGAATGGTCCAAAAAAGAGAAAATATCCAGTGAGTGGCAGTTGTGTGTGGGGGAAAAAGTCTTGTTGATGTCAGAGGTCAGAGGAGAATGGGCAGACTGCTTCTAGATGATAAAAAGGCAACAGTAACCCAAGTAATCACTCAACACAACTATCTCTGAATGCATAACATGTCCAACCTTGAAGCAGATGGGCTACAGCAGCAGGAGACCACACAGGGTGCCACTCCTGTCAGCTAAGAACAGGAAACGAAGGCTACAATTCGCACAGGCTCACCAACAATGGACAATAGAAGATTGGAAAAGGTTGTCTGGTCTGATGAGTCTCAGTTACCCTAGAGATAGAAAATCGCAGTAGATAAGAAGTTTTTAAAGTATTCAGACCAGCCCGTCTGACACCAACAACCACATGCCACATTCAAAGTCACTTTAATCCCTGCTAATCAACCAATCACATGGCAGCAACTCAGTGCATTTAGACATGTAGATGGGGTGAAGACGACTTGCTGAATTACATACTGAGCATCAGAATGGGGAACAAAGAGGATTTAAGTGACTTTGAACGTGGCGTGGTTGTTGGTGCCCAGGGGCGGACTGTTCATTTGGAAACTCCGGCACTGCCCGAGGGCCCGGGGTCAGTAGGGGGCCCCATGAGATGCTCCTGGTACCTTTTTCATAGGCTTTCTTGAGTCTGGGCAAGGACACAGGGGTCCCATGTTACAGCATAGAGACTGACACCAGTGGCGTCCCGAGGTAGGTGCGGGGGGTGTGCGCCGCACAGGGTGACACCTACCGCATGGGGTGACACCAGACCCGCTCCACGAAAAGGTAAGTTGTAAAGCAAGCCGACGATCCTGGCAGGATGGATCCGATCCATCCAGCAGGGATCGTCGGCTTTCTTTACAACTTACCTTTTGGTGGAGCGGGTCTGGTGTCACCCCGTATAGGTTGCATGCCGACGATCCCCGGAGGGTGGATCGGATCTGTGAATTGGGGAGCATGATGAATCGGAGTCCAATCCATTATGCTCAATCTGCAGATCCGAACCATCCTGTGGGGATCGTCGGAGGGGGTGTCACCCGGTGTTATCGCACCGGGTGACACCAACCCTAGGGACGCCCCTGACTGACACACAGGGGCGGACTGACCATTTGGAAACGGCCCGAGGGCCCGGGGCCAGTAGGTAGCTCCATGAGATGCCCCTGGTACCTTTTTCATAGGCTTTTTCGAGTCTAGGCAAGGACACAGGGGCCCCATGATCCCCTATTGCCCGGGGGCCCCATGAGTTGTCAGTCCGCTCCTGTTGGTGCCAGACGGGCTGGTCTGAGGATTTCAAAATCTGCTGATCTACTGGGATTTTCATGCACAACCATCTCTAGGGTTTACAGGTCGGAGGAGAATGGACAGACTGACTCGAGATTATAGAAAGGCAACAGAAAATCATGTCAATGTGGACCAAAATCTCTGAGGAATGTTTCCTACACCTTGTGGAATCTATGCCATGAAGAATGAAGGCGGTCCTGAAGGCAAAAGGGGGTCCAACCCAGGACTAGCAAGGTGGACCTAATAAAGTGGCTGGTGAGTGTAAAAGTTGTGGATCTGCTGCTTTGGAATGCAAGTCGGA